CCGTAGAAAAAAATTCGATAGTTTAGTTAAATCTCTATAGAAATCCAAATCTCTCCTTTTGGAGTTGTTAGTAGTATACTGTAGTATCTATATTGAAATAAGTAGGTGATTGTATTGCAAAATCATGAACAACTTTAGCAATGAGAATAGGAGCAGATGTGTATATCGACTTGTCTATGCAACGCGACACATCGTTGATCGAGTTTTCGAAATTGTTTTTTTATTGGGATTAGGACGAATTTGATATTTGCTTTTTTAAGAAAAAATTAATTTGTCGAGGGAAATTTTAAGAATGCTTCCATGAACAAAGAACTACATTTGAGTAAAACTTCAGATTGTAATTCTGTTGTTCAATTTTTCTGTATATACCTTGTGCTCCTTGAAAAAAAATGATTAAAATCGTCATAAACTTCGACGTGAGTACCATCAGCCCAAACTCTCTTAGATGTTTTCTTAGAATAATATTTCCAATAATCGACATCACCTTATCTTCGCACACTTTCATGGTCTCTGACCTGGTGTGGGTGCAGCAGACATACGCTAGGAAATCGAAACCCATCCGCACAGCCACAGCGAGGCCAATACCATTTAATTGTGAGCTACATCTCTCATGGTTATATAAAACTAGTGCTACATATCAGTTTTTTGCGACTCGTGTCTTTTGAGCTTATGCAAAAATGGTTGAGTAATGATCACTATAATATCTGGCGTTATAATTTTGATGGTGAAGTCATCGGCTTTTTTTTCGTGAACAAAAGAATTGTTCATCACATAAGGGTTCCGAATCAACGCAGTATATGTGAGTTAATAAATGAAGTGAACCTCGAAGATGAAGTCTAATGAAAACTATCGGAGGAGTCGTGCAAGACGTGTCGAGTTTAATGACACATCTAGAATATTATATCGGGTTTTCCGCTAGTACATGAATTGTTTAATCAGTTACCTTAAGTTTAACTGTTTTGCGAGACAAAAAAAAAGATTTAATAATTGCGTATGTTGGCAGTTCATTACCGAATACGGCTATTCGAATTATAGCAACTTTCATATTTTTGGATCATTTGAAAGTGAAAGTACATGGTTTTGGTTCATATGAAACACGAGTTAATGAAGAAGCAAAGTTTATTCTTTATAGTTTACGACCGTTGAATCATAGTATCAATAAGCTAATCGTACGATTGATTGTTGTACAGACTGATGTCAAAGTTCGAATTCATCAAAACGGAAAATAAAAATAAAAATATTTCTCGTTACTCTCATAAACCCACAGTACCAAATATAATTTACAGTAGGATTATTCGAAAAACAAGAATCTTTGCTATATGTAATATTTTTAGATAATTATCTGTTGAGTATAATACAGGCAGAAAGATTGTTTCATGATTAGGTAAATTACGTGTTTCTGATCCTGGAATTGAATATGGAGTTCTATCGACCTTTCAATTGTGTTCTCTTTGTGAAATAAATTTATCAGGCAAAACTTGTAAGATTTGAAAGTTTGAGTTTATTAAATATCAATATCAAATAAGTGCTGAATACTTAACTGTTAAAATTTATGATCCTAAAAGTGCTTTTCGTGTTGAAATGCAACGTGAACATTTACAAAATCGTACAATTATATGCCGATATTATTCAGCTGGACTTGAGATTCACTTATGTCAGTTAACTGCAGTAGTGAACATGTATATTGTTCACCATTTCATACAATATTTGAATATCAAAAAGAAGTAGATCGATTTCGACATTAATTCAATGCTTATGGTGTATTTATGTAAAAGCAGGACGGTAAACTTTAATACAACATATTTGTATGATTTTTCTTCAGGATTTGAATATTTTTTTTTCTGAAAAACTTATAACGATAATATTATTCCTACTTTTACATAATAAAAATATTTCATATTGCATGAAGAAACATCAATTCAGGATGTTCTTATAGTTGTCGTTAGACAGAAATCTTATATACACTTGTATAGCCAAAATTGTAAACGCAACACATATGTGAAAGTTTTCATTGCAATCGTTTCAAATTAATGTTTCATAGATGTTACAACAGAATCTTGCTCATTTGTAAACACGTTCATATTGTCGGAAATTTAACCCATGTATTTTGTTCTTTGATTTCACATGAATGCGTATCATCAAAAAGTTCTAAAGACAAATATGTAGCTCATTCTAACTGGAGTATGGAAAATGACGAAGCAAAAAATGAATAGGATTCGAATGGAGTCTTGAAAAGAAATGTTTTTGTTGTTAAGCTTGGTAGCCTAGTATTTCGGATATGAAATATGGCTATAGGTATGAGTCTTCTTTTCACACACGTACAATCCCGTTTCACCGTCAAAACTGGTTAGGCTCTAACATGGAAGTTTGAAAACTGTTGAAAAAAAAATTAGTTCCCGCGACAGCATGGTTTTGGCGGATCAAAGAAAATAATATCTGAACAAACTTCCAAAAACTGCCTTGTCATTTATAATGCGGACGAAAGCTTCTAAAAATACAATGATCGCGCTACGTCTGGCCACTGAAGGCGACAAAACTATAGTGGTTCCCTGTCTAAGAAGTATCAAGTACCATTCTTAATTAATATTCACGCAGTTCAAATATTGTCGTTCAATTAGAGTTGATATGCCAAACAGAATTCCATTATGAGTGACAGAGCTTGGGACTCTGACGGGAACTCGGATCCCTAAGATACAATTAGATATGATCTCAAGTGTCACTATGAGTTGAAGATCAATGAATATTCACGATTTTATTGAACAAAAAATGATAAATACGAAAGATATGATGACAATCAACAAGAGATGAGAAAAGAGAAAGCGAAAACAATGTGAGAAAGTAAGTAACTGAATAAAACAGTCAAGAAGAAGTATAATAGTAAAGTAAACTGTGTGCAATGACTAATAAGGAAACGGAAAATTATGCTCAAAATAAATAAGCATAACAAAGAAATTGCGAATATGAATAAATAAACACACAACAAGAAGAAAGACAGAACATAGGTGACACATAATGTCGTTACACCCCCTTTGTGGTTTTGCTACTATATGCAGGCTGAAGAATGTTATTTATGACATCTAATTAATTAGAAAGGGATTCCCAAAATATATTCTCTATTTTGTTCAATCATCGAATAAATCAACATAAGCAATTCTATTTAAGTGAATATGTAAGAAAACCATCTCATACTTGTTCTGACCGTTACGTCTTGAGAATCCTCTTCAGCATTGACACTGCGATCTTTTCCATCAAATTTCAATTAACCAAACACAAATGTCAATATTGACTCATTTTCATAAACTAATGGAGGGTGTTTTACGAAGATAGCGCCTCATCACTCTCCAGGAGTTCTTTTTTAGTCCTCTGACAGAAGAGCTTTACAATGTATCTTTTTAGAAAGTGAGATCAGTGTCTCAAACGGGACCATACAACAAATGTCGCTACAAACATATAATACAATCAAAAGGAACAAAATATATGTTGATATATTCGAAAAAAAGACAAATACTAAAAATAAAAACACTATCAGAATTCGAGAACTGGGTAACCACTGGTCGAACACAAAAAAGTAATAAAACCACTGAGGCATGATAATGATAATTGTCTAACGTTACTTGCAAATGATAGCGAAAGCCTTAAAAAAGCTAATCCTGGATGATCTCTAGTCTATTATTTCTATCTATCTGTGAATTTGCGGCTGAGTAAACATTAATTATCTTTAAATGCTGTAAATGGAAGACAAAATTCTACACCGAAATAGAATCCATTCGATTATATGCAACAAAGTATTGATTTCATTACTATTTCTAAAGAACTTGAGCGATACAATGCTTAGACTCTCGAACAAAGGGGAATCGAGTCTAACACAGAAGAAATCTACGTCTTGGATGCATTACAATGGGAAAAAAGTCTAATAGGTCAAAAAAATCTGCTAGTATAACTACATAGTTCTTAGGCAAAGTGGCAAGCCAGCGCTGAACAAAAAGAGGGGAACGTCAAGGCAGGCTAAAAAATGAGTCATCATCAAAGAATACAAGACACCATGTAACTGATTAGATTGTGTCAGCGTCAAACCAACCCAAATAATAATTCTTCGATATACTATACTCTTAGCTGAAAAATGTTCGCCAAACCCTTTATATGATAAAAATGTACAACTTTATGAAACCTAGTCAATCTTTGATCACCCAAAATTCTAGGGTTTTCAAAGTATCAGAGTCACGAAAATTTGACTTTCTTATATGGATCGTCAGTAAGATATGATACCTGATAATATTCCACAGATTAGTTTTTGTACTGCTGATAATAGGAGTTTGGGGAGCGGCGTACTCCACAGGAATCTTTGTGAGACTTTTTGTACTTGATTTCATCGAAACATATATTGATTAATGTAGTCGAGTGTAATAATTACGAATATCGCTATATTAGCTGCTGCAAGCACTTTAACAAACAAGAAAACAATGATTTTCCGGTGCTTCTATGGATTCTGATCATTTTTACTCATGTATCTTCTGCATGGATTTCTCTAGCATCATGAGAAATACATTCTTCATAGCTAAAACAAAGTACTTCACTTAAGAGGGTTTTATATAAGCTCCTTGGCAGCATGATTTACTAAAAAGATAAGGATCGCCGATCAAAACTCTGCTTTTGTCTAGCTTCTATCAAAACTGAATTTCGAAATGTTCTGAAGACAATAGCAATATGAAACTTCAATTGTATACGTGACTTTTTAACTTTACTGGATGGTGAACTCTAGAATAAAAAAAACTGGCGCTTCAGGATATTCAAAGATCTCTAGAAACTTTTTTCAGAATTTCAACAGTTTCAATAGAAACTGAGTTCATCATTGTCTTCAATGCATTAAATAAGCTTTGAATGCAGATCCCTAAAATACCAAATATTTGTGACATCCTGAATCCGGACCTCTATTTCTATCATTAATTGTATAATGATATAAGCTAATAAAAACGAATAGAGAACTCTGCAAACCAGTCATATCAGTATTTCAATAAGATTGCAAAGGTATTATTGAGTGCTGAACCCGATGATGAACCTGGTATCCACTAAAATCTGTGAGATTTTGGGCAAATTTTCCAGACAAACTCTCGAAACCTAGAATTACCTTCCGTTTGACGTTTTGACTCCCCTATGCCGTAAATTACTGGCACTGATCTGTTGAATCTAATTTTCAGCTTTGGTTCCAGTCATTGACCAGAAGGCTTTGAGATTCACGGTTTCCGTAGGGGACAAATAAAAGCAATGCTTCTAGCACTAATTCTTAATTTCATTCTCGATCTTGCTACCAAGGGGCTTTTATAGTTTATAATCAAGCACATTACGTTCCTTGAACTGTTGCGAACGTGTTTAAATTGAATCAAAAATAAAAACCTTTCCAGAGATCCCTATGAGAGGCCACAACTTCCGAAAACATTTTTGTTTCGTTGTACAAAAGCTGAGCTGTAAAATATTGTGAAGCATTACGCCTTACTGTAACAAAAAAAAATTCAAAGAAAAGGCAGTTTTATTGGAAGTGAAAGATGACCCTGATGGTAAACGCCATCCTTCCTTCACATCTCACCCGTCATTATCAACAGTGTTCTATGGAAACCAAACTAATTACTACTTCATTACGTATTCTTTCGAACTTCATCTTCTTATATCAAATCATGATTACTTATCTGCTCATTGAGTGTTCGGAAACCTTTTACAATATTCTCAAGGACTTCTCGATTCAAAACAGGATGCTCCACCACTTCAACTTTCCCATATAACAATACTTTGTTCTCTACGATGACTAAAGCGCTACCCTCAAAAAGTATGCAGTGATATAAATCTGAAAGACACACTGCATCTTCCGATAGTAAAAACATTTGCATAAGTTTCTCAGACACATCCCTAGACTTTTCCATGCTCGACAAGCATTCATTCCACGAAACTTTGTCTCCTTGTGATTCGTTTCTTTTCAATAATAATAAACTGATGAGCTTCTCCAAAGTCATATACGAATTGTTCGCGACATAGCGATTACGCTCCCCTAGTGCTTCGATTAGTCGATGAATGATCTCATTTGTTGCCGCCTCTTCACCCATTTTAATCAGAGCTTCACATGCCTTGCTTCTGATATCGCTATCACTACTCCCAAGTGCATTAATAAGCCCATTTATGATCTCACTAGTTGCTGTCTTTTCACCTATACTAGTCAGAGCTTCACATGCACTCAATCTGACGGGCCCAGAACTATCCTCAAGTATGCTAATTAGCCAATTAATCACTTCACCTGTTGCGGCCTTTTCACCCATATTTCCCAGAGCTTCACATGCTTTCTCCCTTACATTGCTGTCTGTGTCCCCAAGTGTGATAATTAGTCGATCAATGACCTCACTTGTTGCTACCTTCTCGCTCATTCTGCCCAGAGCTTCACATGCGTTGAATCTGACAGTACTGGAACTATCCATCAATGCACTAATTAGAGAATTAATGACCTCATTTGTTGCTGCCTTTTCACCCATCTTTCCTAGAGCTTCACATGCCTTCTCCCTGGCATCGCTATTCCTATCTCCAAGTGCAGTAATTAGCCGATCAATGATCTCAGTTGTTGCTGCCTTTTCACCAATCCTACCCAGAGCTTCGCATGCACTCCACCTGACATAGCTATCACTATCGCCAAGTGCATTCATTAGGCGATCAATGATCTCATTTGTTCCTGCCTTTTCACCCATCCTACCTAGGGCTTTACATGCACTCGATCTGACAGTACTAGAACTATTGCCAAGTGCAACAATTAGGTGATTGATGACTTCACTTTTTGCGGCCTTTTCACCCATCCTACCCAGAGCTTCACATGCACTCGATCTAACAGTCATAGAACTATCCTCAAGTGCGCTAATTAGCCAATTAATCACTTCATCTGTTGCGGCCTTTTCACCCATCTTTCCCAGAGTTACACATGCCTTCTCCCTAACATTGCTGTCTCTGTCCCCAAGTGTGATAATTAGTCGATCAATGACCTCATTTGTTCCTGCTTTTTCACCCATCCTACCCAGAGCTTCACATGCAATCCATCTGACATAGCTACCACTATCCCCGAGTGCATTAATTAGGCGATCAATGATCTCATTTCTTCCTGCCTTTTCACCCAACTTACCCAAAGCTTCACATGCACACCACCTGACAGTATCAGAACTATCCCCAAGTGCAATAATTAACCGATTGATGATCTCATTTGTTCCTGCCTTTTCACCCATTCTACTCAGAGCCTCATATGCACTCCACCTGATATAGCTATCACTATCCCCAAGTGCATTAATTAGTATATCAATGATCTTAGTTGTTGCTGCCTTTTCACCAATCCTACCCAGAGCTTCGCATGCACTCCACCTGACATGGCTATCACTATCCCCAAGTGCATTAATTAGGCGATCAATGATCTCATTTGTTCCTGCCTTTTCACCCATCCTACCTAGGGCTTTACATGCACTCGATCTGACAGTATCAGAACTATCTCCAAGCGCAATTATTAGATGATTAATGACTTCACTTGTTGCGGCCATTTCACCCATCCTACCCAGAGCTTCACATGCACTCCACCTGGCAGTACTAAAACTATCGACAGATGCACTAATTAGGAAGTTCATAACCACATTTGTTGCTGTATTTTCTGCCATCTCACGGAGAGTTTCCCATGCACTTGTCCTGACATTTTGATTCCTATCGCCAAGAGCGCGAGTTAGCCCAAGAATGACGTCACTCGTTGCTGCTTTTTCACCCATCGTACCCAGAGCCTCACATGCACTCCACCTGACAAACGAATCGGGATCCATAAGTGCAATGGTTAGCTGATTAAGAACTTCAGTTGTTGCTGCTTTTTCACCCATGGCACGCAGTGCTTCACATGCACGCGATCGGACAAACGAGTCAGTATCACGAAGTGCCCCGGTTAGTCGATTGATGATGTCACTTCTAGTTACATGTTGACCCATATGACCCAGGGCTTCACACGCCTTCTCTCTGATATCGCTATCATCATCCTCAAGTGCACCAATCAATCGGTTTATTATCTCACTTGTTGCTGCCTTTTGGCCCATCTTTCCCAGAGCTTCACATGCTCTTTTCCTGAAAGACAAATTAGTATCTCCGAGTGCGTTGACCAGCGGAAGAATAGCGTAATCTGTTGCCGTCTTATCACTGATGAGAACGATAGTTTTACATGCGCTTTGTGAAATTTCGGAGTTTCCGTTTAAAATGAGGTTGGTGAGTGACGTGATCATCGCCGGATTAGGTTTCAAATTTTGTAAATTCGAAATCAGTGAAGTGATATTGCGTAATCTGTCAGGGTCTCGAGTTTCTAGCAAGTGAATGAGGGTGTTTTGTATGACTGGGTCGTTCGGTATTGCTGTGCAGGTTTGCATCGTTGCACTCAAGTTTTTTTGTAGGGTGCTATTTCTGCTGGATGATATATATTTGATCCATCGGATTATGTATTGGATTACCTCATCTCGCTTCTGTATAAGATGGCTACAATTAGCTTCGTCAACACATGAAGTGAGAAGTTGTAGGTGTCGGAAGCCAACGAGATCGCATGGTTCCTCTAAAATAGCGTCCCAGAATGTATTGATCATTTGCTCGTCTCCGGTTTGATACAGGAGTCCTGATATAAATGTGAATACTAAGGCGAATCGTTGTTCGTACTTGTAAGCTCTGATAAAGTGGATCGTCTTCTCACGTGCAGGACCGCTGAGAGCGTTAACGACGTAAAGTGCTGCTAAATGCTCTTGAAAGCTGAGATGAATGAAATAATAGTCGTTTTGCGGCTGAATAGAACGTCCAATAGGCTTGTCATTGAACGATTTTAAAGCACCTATATTGAGTAATTGTGAGTAATCTTCTAAAGAACATTGAGTCTCAGCCTCTACTTTTTCCAACAGTCTCGGTCGTAATATGATTGCATTGTCCTTCATGGCATGAAAAGCCAAGTTTTCTAAGAATGCTAGTTCTTTTTGACATTTTGCAAGGACTGCCTTCTTATGCATATGTTCAATTTTTATGTTTTGTCTTGTTAAATATCGTCGACATAGCCATTCGATTATCTCATGGTAGAGTATTGTCAATGTCAGAGCTTTATTTTCTGACCAATCAGTTTCACTCCAAATGCTACAAATAAGTTCTAAATTTACTGGAATATGAGTAATCCCCCAAATTCGTGAGTTCTTTTTCAAGAATTTCAGGCATTTTTGACTTTCCAAAGACGAATCGGCGAAATTTTCTTGAATTTGATCAAAGAAACGCTTCACATATTTCGGAATATTGTCATCTGTAAAGCCAGTAATTTCAATTTGAACACCATATGATAGAGTATTGAAATATGGACGTGATGTTATTATGTGATGAGGAGTGTTGCGTAACTGTTCAAATAAACTATTCAGATGTTGTGGTACATTCTGTATTATTTCATCATATCCATCCAAAACCCACAATATTTTTCTTTTACTCAATTGCTTTTTTAAGAGTTCCTTGTCGTTCTCATAGAGATTGTTTGAGAAGTATTCTGTATTCACAACATCGACTGTTGAATAATTTTGTCTGGGAGTCAGTCGAGGAAAACGACTCTCCATTAATGAACGTAACGGAAACACAACAATCAAATCATATTCTGTCCAAATTGCACCTGTGGTCCATTGGTGAGCAACATATCGGCAAAAAGTGCTTTTACCTATTCCAGCTCGGCCTAAAACGAGTACATTCCTTGTCTGATTCTTGCATGCCCTGAATATGTCCTTCACATTAATGGAAGTCTTGACGTCGTAGATCTCCTCGAAAGTACCCATGATGGTTTCACTATGCATCGCATCACGAAGCTTGTTTTCTTTTTCTCGCTGTTCTTTGATTTCCACGATGGACAAATTAATATAGCTTTCTTCAATTGGAAAAGATATAGCTGGATTGATCAAACGCTCAATTCGACTATGTCTTTTGTATTGATACTTAATTAGCTCGAGTAAATAGCTTGGCTCATCGATTGGCTTCAATAGTAGATGTTGTGTGGCTAAAAGTTGCTCTCTTATTCGACCAACTAGTTCTGTCGCTTTCGAAGGAATGCTTGACTCGGAAATATGATGAAAATATACGTGCTCAAGTCTGTTAGTGATAGATTTCAGCCAGCCAGAAGGCTTCCAGACATCTGCATCACAAAGTATACATGGAATGATTTGCTTGTGTCGTTTTTGTGCGTATTGCAGTTCAAGCTTACAATTCTCAGATATCTCATAATCCGGTGTAATGAAACAACAGATAATTACTGCTTTTTCTACTCCAATGGCAAGACTATGCAAAAGAACAGTTCATGCACATTATAACAAGAAAGAATAATCATTTTCATAGACATACCTTTCATACATATCTTTTTTCATGTCACCATTTCCATCAAACCAAACTGGAATACTTTCTTCTCTTAAAATCCGATCGATATTTGACACAATATCTTGGCTATTCCAATTATAAGACAGCATGATATGTTTCCCTTCAGGAATTAACTTCGATATTACTGTAGTATCTCTAAAAAAGCACAAATTGTTTAGTATTGAATAGCTATAAGGTAACAAAAATGAAATTTTCATTTTAGCAGCCATGTTTAAAAGGAAAACGTGGCATTCTGATAATCAGAACTATTTGAATTGGATCTATGGACTACGTTTCGAAAATACATGCTACTTTAATAGTGAGAGATACTCTGTGTCGTTTTCATGAAGAATTTGCTACATCGATTTCATGAGAAGTATACGGAAATATGCAAAAAATTGGTGCACATTTGTAAGTAACGTTATTCCCAGTACTCAAGCATTCGATATTGTGTTCATGTTAGTCAAATCGACTAGTTTCGGTCATGATTAGAATATAAAAAAGACTAGATGAAAATAATGATGCGAGAAAGTGCACAAGCTTGCGAATACAAGAAAACAACCTTGATTGGTACTTAGCCACCTGTGAAATAGTAATCTTTTCGATTTCTTAGAATCCTTTTCAAAAATTGTGCCAATTTCTTTTAATAAAGCTTCGCAACTTTTATTGAAACGACCGGCAGTCGAATACTGCGGTGCACTATTGCTTTCAGCGACTTACGAATATTCAATGCAATTGTTATCAAGGAAAACTACTCAATATTTTTTATGCTTGGATACCACTCCAATGTCCGATGGTTGTTGGTAAGTTATTTTAGTATATTATGGAATTTAAAATGACTTTGCTATTCCTATTATGCGATTTGAAGTATTTGAATATTTACTTGTAATTAGTAATAGAAGCTCGTGCAATGGCAATATATTCATGTATTGTCTTGAGTGGAGAATTGATATAGTAAGGACAACTTTTACTTTGAATTCATCTCCTAGTGTAAAGCGAAGGCTTGAGTAAAGGATGGATGAGTGCACATCCTTTCTTCAATTATGAACTATCCACGCTCAAATTGAAACGTTTCAACTCCTATATTGAGCCTTGACGCATGGCTACGCCAAATCTTAGATCAGTGTAATATGACTATTCTGTTACTACCAAAGACCAAAACGTTAGGTTTATTAATATCTCTTACCTCAAGCTAGGTTCTTCTTTCAAGTCGACAATGAAGAAACGATTTTCAAAGTTGAATGAATTGCTCTTCATACGTAATTGAGTTCCAGGCATAAGAATAACTTCTTGCTCCTGTGGAAATACCGAGTACGCCGATACATCTTTTGCATGAATCGCATCAATAGCAAACACTGTCCCCTTTTCTCCTACGAATGCTTGAATGACATCGAGAGCCGTTGAACATGAATTTACACTCCACCAAGTTTGAACGCTATTCGGTATAAAGATGGACAAAACGTTGCCTGCAACTCCTCGCCATACCCTAATCTCGAGTGACGGTAATTTCTCGAGAGCGGTAATAAATAGTTTCAAGTAGGCGAACCACGGTTTCAGAACATGTCGGTTTTCATCTCGAAGCGCTTTATTGAGCATGGAAAAAAAGCCTGTTTGCATTGAGTAAAGATAAATTGCTGCCGATTCATCCCATGTTATAAGGGCCGAGTTTCTATTACAATTTTGTTTAGCTCGAGCAGTATAATCTGCAAGACCAGAAACTAATGGAACAATTCTTTCAACAGCTTGTTCTAATGTCATAACGGGCAAATCTTGGTAACCATATATTGGACTGCGATTGGTTTCTTGAAGTTCTGAGATATCATCACTCACAAAGCGATTGCTCTTGATGAACATCGTATTTTGCGCCATTCAATTGCCGACTTCCTATTATGAAGAGAGTTAGTCATCCATGAGATTAAGTACATTTCTATTGCCTCATCCATATTCTACTATCTATCCAGTCTTATGAGAGCAATAAGGTTCTATAGGCTGTGTTCGATAAAATGGCATCCCCTTGGAACTCATTTTCATACCAATAGCTATCTACTAAATTTTTTTCATAAATATTTGGACATCGAGAACCATCGACAACAATGTCACCCTAAATTGTCCAGGGAAGCTTCGGTTTTAAGTTTATATATGCATGAAATGAAAAATGTACCCGAATTATATAGTAATTCTAAAAATTAGATCGACCGATCCACCTATGTCTCTATAAAATGCTGAACTGATACCCATCTTGACACTGCAAAGACGAGCATGCTCAGTATTGTACTACTGTCTAACTATCAGCATCATAACTCAAATTTGTCGAAATTGCAGAAGACAAAAGTAACCATGCACTATACATCCCTCATATTGGATCAATAAAAAACTCAATGTGGAAAGATTGAAGGCTAGNGTGAAGAGAAGGGCCACAGTCGCACCCCAGGATAGCGAACATCTTAGTGTAAAGTGTTAACGAAAAGATTCGATGACGAAATGCTTGCTTCATCGAAAAAATCTGCCTGTCTTATATATATAGCTACAAAAGGTTTACAGAACGACAAATATATAATTCAGCCTAGCTGAATAACACTCGTTGAATTAGTTACGCTTTAAACTTAGCTGAGATCTAACAATAACACCAGACATAGTAAACAGGTGGCGCCAATGAGTGACACATTAGAGATCCTAATTAGTAAAGTTTTATCATCAATTGAGTACAACATAAACAATTCAACAGAAGTCGTCGAGCTGCATTATATGCGCTAGGTCTATAAGTGATGCAAATCTTAGTGTGAATTATTGAAGAAAGCACTGACTGTGAACTCCGTTGTTAAACTTTAGTGATCCTTGTCATTGAAATATTCCTTTTATTGGAACGAAACACACATGATTCGATAGAGCTAATCGCACTGCATCGAATGAGCTAAGCCTCATTAGTGACTCGAGTTATGGAACGAATTGCCAACTAACATTTTTTGAATGATTTTCCCCTCTAGCATAAAATTATCTCTTCTGCTGTCATCTGTATCTGCTAGATTTCATTGAAGATCTGAAAAAAGAATTCGATACATCTTATCGAAATAAATAATAGTACTTCGAAACCTGTTGTAGATCGAATGTATATATACAACGGCTTATTTGCTAGTTAAATTAATAGTGAGAATAATAATAATGTTAAATTAGAAAAAACAAAATATGAAAATGAAAAATAACGGACGAATAGCAACAAGACAAAAGAAAAATCGAGCAACAAATACGACAGATAGTTGCACTGGCGATCAATCATCCTAGGAAAAACTAAACTTTCCTAGAGACTTTTCACTCCAGCTATTTTGCATTATTATAATAAGACTAAAGACTGCGTGTGAGTTCCATATAAGTCCCAAAGGGATTTCACTGACAAGTCTTGCCATTTTAATTTGCATTTTAAAAAGTATATGTTATTCTTTTAGCTGCACAAGCAAAGAGTGCAGCAATCGATTCCCATATGGTAGTGACGAATACCGGAAACTCATTGAAAGGTACAATAGTTGTGTCAAACTGTGATAAGGAGTCTCTTTCGCAATCGAAAGATACATTATCTGATACGTTGACACAAAAAGTTCAAACAGACACCAAAAATTCTAATTCACAAGTTCAAGTGAACCAAATCAGAGAATTGTCTGATGGCACACTTGCTCTTGATTATGAATGTACAGGTGTGTCTGATCAAAAGACAGCCAAAAGTGCACTGAATACCGCTGTTCAACAAGATGACGTCAAGCAAACTATAGTTCAATCTTCAAAGAGTGATGCATCTAATACAGGCGATTCAAAACAACAGAAAGCTAACCAGCCAAGTGAGTTTTTTTAACTGTTTATTATATTTCCATTTCAACTATTTATTTAGTCAAACACACATTAAGCAGTTTATTGGTTAAGTACCTTGATGTTGAAATAACTATCGACGTATATTTCTTATTCTTGCGATACTCTTCTTTGAATACCCTAGGAAGCATTGCACCTAAGCCACAACCATCTCTACTCAGTCGATCTCATCGATTTGTTCATATTTCTACAGTAGATATAGACGACTGTGTTAGAAATAAACTGAAAGTTTTAGCTTTAACGGATGAGCCATTCAGAAGATATAGACGCTGCAAGTGTGGCGAGGTATGCCTAAATTTAGGCTTGCTAACAGTGCAATATTTTTCAGTGAGGTTTCATTTTCAAAACAACGACTAGAGTTACCAAAACGACTTTTTTTTATCAAAGATGCTATCCATGATGGGCAATCTTTTTGCCCCAACGAAAGTTTCTTATGATCTGATATTTTTCGTCGGGTGCCATGTGCCATGTCCAGAACGGCTGGCTTCGGAGACTGAGCCAGTTAGTCGAATCAGTGTGATAGAATGTTTTGAAACCGGCTTTACTTGAAAGAGCGCATCGAAATGCATCGAATAGCGTTCTTAAAAATTTGACTATTTTTACTTCGCCAAAAATACCGAAAATTGCATGTCATTTTAATTATGACAAAATAAAATTTTTCATCTAATGTTAGATTGTTGTATTTAGAATGGAAGCCGACGATGAGAAACCTCTAAATTCAAAATTCTAGCTTGTTCGGACTAATCAGTGAAAAATGGGAAAGGATTCATTTTTCTATATTTTATTGAAGCATATTCAATCCAATAAATTTGCCCGTATACTTTTCCAGAGAGTATTTCCCTATGACAAGCCTCTGTCGAATACCTAATATAAGCGTTAGGTGATCGTTAATAAATGTTTCAAACTGTTAAAAGGTTTTTGAATATTAATTTGTCTTTATAAAAATATCGCGACTTTTTCGAATATTTTCTGGGCCATTGCTGTGGTTCCCCTCAGAAACATCGTAAAAATCGATTTTCGATTTTTGACCTGAAACATTGCACAAATAAAGACCAGAACAAGACACGTTAGTGAGATAAATACCAGATCACGGAATAGCTCCGTCACAGAAATATGAGCATGTGAAAAATTGGACATATAGAAACCCTCAAAAAGGATATAAAAAGGCAAATCTTCCACCATTTTTCACTGGCAGGTTAGAACAAGCTAAAACTTTGAATTTAGAGATTTCTCACCATACGCTTTCATTTGAAACAGAACAATTTCATATTTGACGAAAACTTCCACGTTTTTGTAGTTAGAGTACTGTGGCATTTTCGCTGCCTTTGATCTTTTTAAAAACCTTTTGCTACCAAAGTAAAAATAGCCAAATTTTAAAGAACGTCATTCAATGTATTTTGATGCGCTCTTTCAAGTGAAACCAGTTTCAAAACATTCTATTACACTGATTCCACTAACTTGCCCTATATACGTGGGCATGCTTTTTAAACAAGATATAGGGCGTGAGTTGCATTTTACCTTAAGATGAAGTATTTTCATTACTATTAAAAGATAGCCCGTAGTCGATAGTATCTGTGGTGAAAAAATCTCAGGGATAACTTTTACGATTTGTGAGAAAACGAAAATATAATGAAAAATCTTGCAATAAAAAAATCTCTAATTTTGACTGAGTACCAATACTTTTGAGCCGTATATATCGAGAACAGTGCATTCTTTAAGTTGAAATTTTCGGTTTTTTCCCAACTTTATCAGATCTATTTACTGTAAAAATAAGAACCAAATTGGTGCTATCAATTGAGCAAGATTCAGCAGAAAATGGTCGTGGCTTAGGTGCAATGCCTCCTAGGGAAACCTTTGCTGCTTCAGCGTCAGATCCTTGACAGATATGACCAGGATCTTGCAATGATTCGCTATTTTTTTCTGAGAAAACTGCTAAATCCTGAAAGAACTACGTGGTCACGGATTTTTAAGATCCTGTCAGGATTCAAAACAAGATTTCCTGCGATCTTGACAAGCTTACCATTTTTTTTTCAAACCAAGATTCAACCAAGAAATCGATGATTTCTGAAAGAAGTTTGTAGCCATAGAATCATAGGATTCTCTCAGGATTTCGATAATTCAAAATTGATGGAGGATGATATCGAATTTCTTGACAGGATATTTGTAGGATTGGACTAGGCTTCCTTGAAAATGTTATCAGTTTTTGACTGAGTCTTCGCCAGTTTACCCAGCTAGGTGTGCCATGTCATCCTATATCACTTCAACGTTCAATTTCTTAATTTCTAATTTTGATGTAAACTTCTGTTTGAAGTTTATGTGAATAGAAATTATCTCAAAACAATTCTGAATATGCAATATCATTTTATGTATTTATTTTAGTCAGTAAATTATTTTTTAAATTTCGATTCGATTGAAAAATATATTTTAAATAATTTTTCTAAATAATCAAAACTATAAGCATTTTTTATCGAAAGATCTGCTGCTAACTAAAACTATCTATATAACGAAAAACAAATTACGATGGCTAAACTTAAAGTAGCACCCTACTTTAATGATTTTGAATGTTCTGTTCTTGATAAGATTAAACCATAACTCATTGCTGTAGTTTGAATCTCAGAACAACTTGTATATAAACTTTAAAGAGATTAAAACTTTTTTTGTAGCATTTTTATTCGTTCTATTTCTTTATGAAAAGAATCAAACCAAGATCAAGATAAAAGTACTAGTAGGTCTTTCAGTTCTTAGATATTTGTCGTATTCGAAAGAAAAACACATAAGTATCTTGAACAATTCTTGCTTTATTGCTGTTCAGATTTTGCTCAACATAGTTTTACATCAAGATTTTACGGCTTCTCCATAGGCCGCCTCCATCATAGACATCTAGCAACGCACTCTCCGTTACAGACGTTAGTATCACCCCTCAGGCCCCAGCAACCGTGGAAAAAGGAAGCTAAAATTTATTCCATGTTGCTATAGCAACGAGAAATGTCACATAAGTACTATTAGTATTGATATCATTCTGAAACTTTGTACATTCTGACAGTTTAGTCTAAATGTTAAATGTTGCGATTCTGTTTTTTTTCATGCAGTGAAAGGATCTTATTGCGGGAGTTAATCAAAAGGATAGTCCTCGTTTTAATCCAGCACAGTAGGAATGGGACCAACCTAGGAAGATCTGAAATTATTGAATTCTAATTTTAGGCAACACTCAGCAGTATATGTCAAAAATCGTCGAAAGGAAAGATAATGTGCGGAGTTGTTCACTGAAGGATAAAATTAATATGTATAGCAGGCTAATATAGTTGTTGAACCAACAAAGCCAATAGTTAAATTTTGTTTGCTGCTGTCTATGATATGTATCGCATATATATTATCATTAGGAGAAAAGAAGCTATGGACTGATAATATATTTAATAATATAAATTTTTACAGTATAACGAGGTTGAATGAATCAAATATATTGTTAGATAAGTAACTAGAAATACGATCATTTTCGAAATGATGAAACTTCAAAGTGCATGTATCGACTATAAAATTGTTATAATTTTGATTTATTCATTTCTTTTGATATTTTTTAAAGATAAATTATTTTAAAAACTCTAACAATATTTCTTAAATTTCCAAAAAGGCAGAATTCTGGTGTTCCACATTTTGATCCCATCTGCGGCCGTACTGACAAGTTTCTTTTAAAGTATTCCAAATGTCTGTTGTCGAACAGTTTCAGTCAGCATCCTGATCAAAGTTTGGTAGAATTTCTTAGTTGAGGCTTCTGACTAATCTTGCTTTGTTCCTGATACGATTTTTGTTTGAAATAAATATAGCTCTTGACAGGGTCCTCGTGTCAGAATCCAGAACAGATTTTGACTCAAACCTATTGAAATCGTGTTGAAATTCTCTGTATGATTTTTGTCAGGTTTCTATATAGGATTGACCGTGAATAGTAGTAGGATCCTATAAATTCAAGTCAGAAAAATAAATTCGAGAAACGAACATGGTTGAATTGACAAAAAAGTAACTTAAAAATATCTTGCTGCTATGACTGAGTGGTTATGATATTCGACACATATCCACAAGATAGTGTGTTCGAGCCTCGGCGCCAGTAGACAGAATGATCTTGGACAAGTTACTAACGGCTGTTTGTCTCGAACCACCCGTCCGATAGCACGCTGAATACATGAGACATACATAACAAGCCCTTGTGACTAGTATGTGGTTAGTCAGTATGCATGGGGAGCTTAAGTGATTAAGCGAGAGGAACTCTGAGTCAGGCTGGTCTTCTGTCCAGAGCTGCAGTTAGTAATAGTAGTAGGAAAAACATTGGGCTTTCGAAATTGTTCTTCGACAGCCCCCTATACTAAAAGGTAGCCGAAAGACAAGGGTATACTTCTTCTTCTTCTTCTAAAAACATCTTTGCAAAATCCTTATATTTTCTTATTAAGATCCTGATTGGAATTCATATTGCCTTGCAAAGTCTGCAAATATATATTCTTGACAAGTTCTAAAGAAGATCCTGCTTGAAGTTTTCTAGGATTAGTTTGTTTCGTTTTCTTACTGATTTTGTTATTTTGCTTCTGAGATCGTCGCTTGATGTTATTATCAATATTGAGAAGATCCTGATACGAATATTCGACCTAGATCTTGATGAGAACCTCATAAAACCTACGCACAATTCTGTCTTATAATCTTGAGAGGATTCATGATAAGATCTTCAGTAAATCCTGATAGGATCCTGTATTCTCAACTCAGAAAAATATCGGAGCACAAACTTGAAGAAGTTCACAACAGGATCATTTTTCTCCTTGAAAACCCTGAAAACAGGAAATAGTAGGACTCGAAACAGGATCCTACAAGATTGTTCCAGAGTTTCTCGAGGAATGACGAGAACTAAGATTAGGATAATTACTTTCTATCGGCCAGGACTCTTTTTCATGGCAATGGCTTTCCACACCAAGACTGCAATGAAAAAATTCGTATATATTCAACCAAAACATCGTTTCTATTTTCTCCCACATACATTTATTTAACTCATCATCATCCTCTTCGGTCTAACATTGGTTCTAAAATCAAGAATAAGATGGAAAGATTACTGACGCATTATAGAAAACTGTAATATAGTAAGCAAAAATCAAATTAAAATACCTCAAAAAACCTTTTCTTTTTCTCCTGTTAGCCCTTACAATATATATAACTTCTAAATCACTCAAAACACCAATTTTCCCCTGCCCGTTTTTATAGTGACCCTTATTTTAACAATCATTTCAAAACTTTATTTTCAAATTTTTCTTTCGCAGACCAACCCTCAGTAACTACACAGCCACCAGCACCGACCACGACGCTACCCGCATCTACCACAAAGCCACCAGCACCAACTACACAGACAGCAGCACCTACCACACAGACAGCCGCACCTACAACCAAACAACCAGCACCCACTACACAGACAGCAGCACCTACCACGCAGACACCCGCACCTACAACCAAACCACCAGCACCCACTACACAAACAGCAGCACCTACCACACAAACAGCTGCACCTACAACCAAACCACCAGCACCCACTACACAAACAGCAGCACCTACCACGCAGCCAACAACTGCATCGAAAGCAACGAAAGCCACGCAGAAAGCACTCAAATCAAGCAAGCCATCGACTGTAGATTGTGACAAAGATCATAAGGTAACAGCGCAAGATGATAAGAATATTAATGGGGTTTTAGTAGTCAAATCATGTCATGCAACACGTTTTGCTCGAAAACCAAGTCGATGTACCAATGTTGGAAATAAGTTAGGTTCACTTGTTAAAAATCGATTAGACAAAGTTGGTATTAAGGGCCAATTTCCTGTTAAAATTGTGAAAACATCAGGTGACAAGACACAAACTGAATTTCATTATACAATACCATGCGATAAGTCACAGCAACAGACGGTGATACAGTCATTGAAAGATTCTTGCAAAGACAAAGATTTCGTTGACACTATCACAGCAGAAAATCAACCTGATGAAGATGATTCAAGCTCAGAAAGTGACTCAGGAAGTGCGGAACGTTCAACCCAGCAAGTGGTACAAAGAGCAACACCACAGGACAAAGTGGCTGCCACTACAACTGAACAACCAAGTAAGATGCCTCGTTTTCAGAAAATCGTGGCTTCTTAGTGTTTCATAGTGCTCAATGTCGCTCACGTAACTGAAGTTGTCACTCATTTCGAGCATTTCCCCTACCGATTCGCCCAGGATGTGTTCAAGATTGTTCCAGCTCTGTTGCAAGTACAACTCGAGGAGCTCTATCCAATGGTATGCACAGGCTTCTCGTAGCTGAAAAGAAATTTTTTCAGATTTTGGTTTGGACTAGAAAGGCCTAAAAATGATATTTTGAGCTACCGAAAATCTGAGCGTATCATTCGATAGAGCTCGTTGATTTGCACTTGGAACAGCCATTGGAACAACTGGAACTGGTTTTGGGGTGCATCGGTGGTGAAAATATCCGAATCGAGTGGCAACGTCACTTACGTATATCACTCAATGTTTAACGGGGTTTGCCGGTGTCAAATCGAGAAAAAATTACAGTCTTGAAGAAACTATATAAACTGTAATACAGTAACAAGCCCTACTCTCCTGCATTAGAGGGATTGAAAATTGAAAGCCTTTCAGCATTTTTTTCTTTCAACCAATACTTTCTCCTTGAAACGTTCATTAGGAACAAAACTTTCTCAGTATCACATTCACAATCGTGCTTTGCTATGTTCTGTTCTTTCACTGTTCTAGTACAACGTAAAACCGCGAAAGTTGGTAGCACAAAGAAACCTTCAGCAACAAAGCGAACAGTTCAAATGAAAAATTGTGATGATGATGACAGCGTCCGTGAAGATGATGATCAAACAATGACTGGTAAAATTGTTGTTCAAGATTGTCCTTGTGAAAAACGATTCAAAAACAATCGAACACGACTTGCTGTGCTTTCTGCTACTCTTGATAAGCAACTTCGGACTTATTACCAACAGCTTTATAATACTAAAATTAATTACAAATGTAATGTGAAAGTACTTAGTGGAAACAGTACACACACAGTATTCACTTATACTGTTCAAATACCAAAATCTGATCATACAAGAGCAAGAGCAGCATTCAAACTACTGTGCAAAGATGACGAAGTAAGCTATTTCTGACTGTGTAGGCCAAGAGAGTGTCAGTCTGTGAGATGTAGAAAAGAACGAATAAACAACAAAATATTAAGAAGGTTGAAATACTAGAAACAAAGTCTAGCTTTTTTGGTTTAGGTGAAAAAAACGATTGAAACAGCATCAATCAAACAAGAAGGTGATGATGACAGTGACAGTTCGGAAGCTAATGATAATAGTAGTTCCGAAGAAGGTCAAACTGTGGCAACCATACGTGCTACGACAAAGAAGATACCTGCTGCCCCGACAGAAAAATCTACCGAGTCCCAGACACCCAAGAATCAGGCAGTGTCTACAACTCTCCCTAGCGTGACATCTAAAGTTGCCACGAAATCTGGTAAAACACTCAAACCAAGCAAGCCATCGACTGTAGATTGTGACAAAGATCATAAGGTAATAGCCCAAGATGATAAGAACATCAATGGTGTTTTGATAGTCAAATCATGTCATGCAACACGTTTTGCTCGAAAACCAAGTCGATGTGCCAATGTTGGCAATAAATTAGGTTCACTTGTTAAAACTCGACTTGACAAAGTTGGTATTAAGGGCCAATTTCCTGTTAACATCGTCAAAACATCAGGTGATAAGACACAAACTGAATTTCATTATACAATACCATGCGATAAGTCACAGCAACAGACGGTGATACAGTCATTGAAAGATTCTTGCAAAGACAAAGATTTCGTTGACACTATCACAGCAGAAAATCAACCTGATGAAGATGACTCAAGCTCAGAAAGTGACGAAGACAGTGCGGAAGGTGCAACCACTAAATTTATACAAAAAGAAGCATCACACGGCATAGTGACTGGTACAAGTGAGCAATCCAGTAAGTTGATTGTCTGTCACGAAACTGTTGATTTTCAGTCTCAGATCGAGTTTAAGACCATACAGTATTTTTCCCGGCGTCATAGATAGTGGAGCTTTGTAAAAACCACATTTATGAATGGATTGTATAAGCTGTGATGTTTTTGAAAGAAGCTGATTTACCTAGGTGTCACTGGACGAGAGACGCTTGATTTTCCATATAGTTGCTCAATGGATAATTTTCAATTTTGATGAATATACAAATATCCGACTGATAGAACCGAAAATAGCTTTTTTGCAATTTCATATATATTTTTTTTCATTTCATTATTTGAAATTTTTTGACAGTGTTTGCTCTCAGGTACATAATAGAGTTCTGAAATTTTTTGCGAGACGTATATTTTGAGATTAGAAATCTAACCATTCTACCCAAAAAGTTCTAATTCGTAATCAAGTATAACTGAAATTTTCAGTTCAGTTCTAGTCCACTCGTATGTTAGGCTCAAAAATAGCCTATCTTCGCGATAGGCGTTCTTCCAATTAGGGTGATACAATTCGATCAAACTTATTTTACAAAGACCACTAAATCAGTGCTCCTTGGTTAAGCAATCACAAGTTTGGAATCGTAAAGTTTGATCTGACAAGCGTTATCACAAAACAGCACTATGATTTCTTGCATTATAGAACAAAAAGGGCTCTGGGTGATTTCTGTGCAGTTTGAAAATAAGAACTGTTCACAGTAAAACTTTCACCAATTATAGATGTCACAGTTAGTAGTTATTCCTGTACATTTTCATTTGAACGATAAAACTTTCACCCTATCTTGGTGTTTTGTTAGATAGACACTTTCGTGGTCCTTAGCATTCAAAATAATGAAACAGCTGGCTCATCAAGTTGCAGTAGTCTTCACATAATTTAATAGTCAGTTTATATATCATTCGACAGAAAATTGAACACTGAACAATACTGTATAATTCATTATGAGTTGCATAGAGTGGTCCAAAAGTTCCCAGAACTTCGGTATCTCTATTTTGAGAAACGACATTTCGCCCATCTTTGTACGCCATATATTCGAGACAGTTGCTGTAATATTTCATGACAAAAATTCATTCTTTTAACTCACCCTTTAGATATCTTTTCGAAGTAAACAATAGGTATTGAATTGACCACCTTGCCTATTGCTTGAATTTGGATAGTTTTTCGACCCCTCAAAAATTTGGAGAAGTTTCTAAGTGGTGAATGGATTTTATGTGATACCATTAGCGGTTATCAAACATTTATGTGCCATCGCAATATTGGATGAGAATTATTCGCGAAACTTCGGTCAACGAGAGAAACTAGTCCTCCAAGTGATATTTATTGCTAAGGATATCAAAAGCAATAATATATGCCAACCATTTAGTGACATTCGAATCATCATTTGACATTTGGTGATTTTTATAGGAGCTAGTGATTTTATTTATATCAACTATTAATGTCTAAATTGACAAATAAAAAAGTTATCGAACAAAAATGTATCATCATGATCTTGTCCGATCAGTTTCCAACATGTAATGTAATGCCATTATTTACTTAAAAATGAGAGGAATGAAGGTAAAGCTCGACAAGCGTACTCATCTTAGGCTAGGCTTTCAAGCTCTTATTCCTTGAAATGCATTTAGCATAGACCAGATAATGAGCAGCTACACCAATATAGCAAGGATTATAACCAAGGAGCTCAATTCAATACCTTGTGTTTACTTCGGATGGATATCTAAATAGTGAGTTAAAAGGATGAAATTTCTCATGAAAGATCAGAGCAGTTACCTCAAATATATGGTATAGAAAGATGGATGGAATGTCATTTCGCTAAATAAAGATACCGAGTTCCGGGAACTTTTGAATCACCCTAGTAAAATCAAAAAATGACTATACGGAATAGAACAAATAATTTTCCAGACATTCTCTATAGGAGTCATCGCATGGGGGTGGCGATTGTTGTACTCAATAGAACACTTCACAGTTGGACGAAAACTACTTCACTTTGTAGAGCGAAGCTTTTTTTAGATGTATACTCAAAATACTAGATCCGATGAATGAGTTTTGGTGCGATCTAATGACTCGAATAATAGCACCCAAAATATCCTTTTATAAGAGCGTTCACTAGATCACATATCAAGGCAGCCGTCGTGAAAATATGAATTTACGATTTTATTATTGCGAACGATACACTGACATTAAAATACTCTTAATCGAAAGTGTTAGCTCTTCTTAGTATATCTGTGAAAAAATTCAGAGTATGCTGACGGCACTATCCTTGATCACTGGTTGAAAAGAGACTTTTTTAATGGTTGATATCAGTATTTTAAATTTTTCTTTGCATTCGTTCATTCGTTTGTACTCAAACACGTCTGATACAAGGTAGAAGTATTTTCTCTGCACAAATGACCAACTCAATAATTTCCAAAAATACCATTCACCAATGAGTAATATTAATAATCAGCCAAAAAAAGAAGATTTGCCACGGCGATAGCTTTCTAGCATTTCCACTTTGCCCGTCATTTTTCCATTTCAACTAATAATGTATTATATAAGTTTGTTCAGCGTTCAATGCTCTATCCAATGATATATAAACTGACTATTAAATTATGTGAAGGCTGCCAAAACTCAATGAAGCATTTGTTTCGTTATTCAGAATTTTGAAGACCACAAAAGTACCTATTTAATAAAGCATCAAATTAGCGTAAAAGTTTCATCGTTCAAAATGAAAATTACACGAGTGACTAATCCCATGTAAAATATATAACCCGAAAAATCAGATTTTTATCGATTTTAATCTAAGATATCGGCATTATAGCTTACAAGAGTGAGTGTGAATCGATGTCGTACACAGCAATCTGTCAAGGGTCGGGTTAGTACTACACTTACCATTTGTCGACGCCAGGAGTCAGAAAAAATAATAAAAAATTCAAGTTTCTCACTGCCAACTGGAGAAAAACGCGTTCTTTAGTCACAGCAATTAAAATCGATTAACAGTCGAATAATCGATTAAGCTTTCTTAAAAATTCAGAAATCAAGTTGAAATCCGATTTTGGCGGTCATTTTTTACATGGGAATAGCTTTAACCTCTATAACTGGTGAAAGTTTCACGGTGAACCACTCTTGTTTTCACACCGTACACAAACCACGCGAAGTCCTCTTCGTTCGATACTGCAGAAACCAATTGTGCTATTTTCTGATAAGGCTTGCCCGATCAAACTTCAAGATCGCAAACTATTCATCCCTTAACCAAGTAGCACCAACTTTTTAGCCTTCGGAAAACAATTTTGCACGAATTCTCTCACACAGACTTCAAGAACGCCTATCGCAAAGATAGGCGAGTTTTGAGCCTATTTTGAACGAACGACACAACGTAAGTAAACATTCCAGTAAAACCTGATCACGAATAAGATGCTATTGGGCCAGACTCGTGAATACCTGATCTCAACATGCATGTGTGGAAAATTCCAGAACTCTATTATGTACTTCTCACGAGATACGACGACAGCATTTAAAACACCAGATAGACATAAAACCTCTCAAACTGATAAAAAGCTATTTTAGATTTCATGAGTCCGATAATCATCTCCCAGGCAAAATTATTTCCTTCGATCCAAACACTTGCCTTTACTCAAAAAAAACGTTACATCCAAAAAACTCGATCACTTTCGGCGAAAACACCAAGCATCCATCGAGCAGCAAAAATTCACTTTCGTTTCACTGTCATGTAGTCACTGCTGCATACTAGTGACCCAATATAAGACCAGATTCTACATTTCGTTCTCTCAACAAAAGAAATTTCTCGTTCACAGCTTATAAAACAATCGAAATACCCTTTGTACCAAATTTAACACCATAGTATAATACACTCTGCTCTGTAACTATTATAGCACAACGTAAGATCATAAAAGCTGGTGCCACAAAGAAACCTCCTACAACGAAGCGAACCGTCCAAGTCAAGAATTGTGATGATGATAACAACATTCGATCAGAAGACGATCAAACAATAAGCGGTAAAATTATTGTTGAAGATTGTCCTTGTGAAAAACGATTCAAAAACAATGCAACACGACTTGCCGTACTTTCTGCTACAATTGCTAAACAACTACGCGCTTATTACCAGAAGCTTTATGGTACAAGCATTAATTACAAGTGCATTGTCAATGTACTCAGTGGAAACAATACACACACAGTATTCACTTACACTGTGAAAATACCGAAAGCTGATCATACTCGGGCACGAGCAGCACTCAAATTAATGTGTAAAGACGAAGAAGTAAGTCACTTTTTATCCCGTAGGTGGAGAGAGCACCAGATAGTGAGAAGTACAAAAACGCAGATAAAGCAAGAGACAATTGAACATATTCTATGTACGGAATTAGCGCTATCATAATCTTTCATTTAGGTGAAAAAAACGATTGAAACAGCATCCATTAAACAAGAAGGTGATGAAGATAGTGATAGTAGCAGTTCCGAAGAAGACCAAACTGTTGCAAAGCAACCGGCAGTAACAAAGAAGGCGACAGTTGCACCTACAGAAAAACAGACCCAACCTGAGAGAACTCAGAAGCTACAAGTGTCTACAACCGCAGCTGGTGCTCCATCTAAAGTTGCTACAAAATCTGGCAAAACACTCAAACCAAGCAAACCATCAACCGTTGATTGTGACAAAGACCACAAAATAACAGCACAAGATGATAAGAATATAAATGGTGTTTTAATAGTCCGATCATGTCATGCATCACGTTTTGCTCGAAAACGAAGTCGATGTACCAATGTTGGTAATAAATTGGGTTCACTTGTTAAAAGTCGACTAGACAAAGTTGGTATCAAGGGCCAATTTCCTGTTAACATTGTGAAAACNAACTGCATCTATGGGTATAATTAGATTAAATGTAGCTTTAGCGATTATTAAAATATTTTGCACAATAGATTAAAATGTCGTGGATTACACAATATAGAATCAATCAAAGAACTATTTCGTCTCTTTCTCAACGAATGTTTCAACATAATAGAACACGTGAGTGCGCTGAATGACGTGTTTATTCTCAAGCAACAGGCATTCACTATTCATGAGTAATATTTGAGAGAAAAAACAGAAAGAAAATTATGCAATATATGCTGGGAGAGATAAGAGGAGAATGAATACCAAATCGACACTGTTTCAAATTTTATTATTTCTTTCCTTTTTTTGTATCTGTTACTCGCACAAATAACCGTTATAGTCGTATCAGAAGTTGAATTATATATTCATTTAAAAGAGACAAATCTATAATACGTCAATTTAGCGAAACAAAATGGCTAGTGTTCTTAATGACTCCGAAGAGCAACGTTTTTTGGATAGAATTCGTTGTATCACATATCGTGAAATACGCGATGAGATGATCGCAAGAACAGGAGATTCATTTATCACTCGTCAATGGATCGCCGAAAAACTAGGTCGCAGCGAACGCTGGGTGCAACGGCACTGGGATAAAACAACTGAAGAATGTTATACACAATTTGGAAGTGGTCGACCTGAAATACTTACCCAGGAGAGTAAAGACGTTATCATTTCTGCAAGTGGTATCAGGGGCGGTAGTTCTCGAAAAGTTGCAAGAGAAATTTTGGAGAAAACAGGACAGCGCGTTAGTCATATGACTGTTTATCGTGAACGTTATCGACAAGGATTAAAACCTTTTCATGTGATTGCAAAGCCATTAAAGACAGATACGCATATTGAAGATCGGAAATGGCTCGCAAAATTTGTTGCTGATTGGACTGAAGAAGATTTTCTGCATATCGCACCTTCGGATGAGTTTTATATTTACGTTATCAGAAAACCAAACCACCAGAACGACAGAATTTGGGCAAGAAGTATCGAAGACATCAGCACCGATGAAAGGTACCGTGAAATGATTCCGAATGCAAGGTGTATCGGAATATTTTTGATGTTCACTATCAAGAAACTTCTTTGGGTCTTGAAGGAGCAGGGGCAGTCTTGGGATGGTGCCTATTTTCGTGAAATTATTCTTCAACAACATGTGATTCCATTTCTTCGAAACCCAAACAATGTACTTGACACAGATGAAGTCATACTTCTTCACGATAAGGCACCCTGCATGAAAGCCAATGCAACACAACACTTTCTGGAGGATGAGGGCGTGAAGTTTTGGGGTAATTCAGTTTGGCCTGGTAATAGTCCTGACATGAATCCTGCAGAGAACATCGGTGCTATTATCAAAGACAGAGTTGAAGATTTAATGGCAAGTGAAGATCGTCAAAACAGACACAGTTATGATGTTCTCAAAACTAACATTGAGAAGACACTTATGGATATTGAAGATGACACGGATCTTTTTGTTGATTTATTGTGCTCAATGAGAAAAAGATTTGATGCTCTTGAAGCTGCCGGAGGAGGTCATACAAATTTCTGAAACTTTATTATACACACTTATTCATGAAAAATTTGTATTTCTAATAAATTGAAAATTCTAGAGCCTATAATTCAAGTAAATGAATAGTATAACGGTTCTTTGATTGATTCTATATTGTGTAATCCACGACATTTTAATCTATTGTACAAAATATTTTAATAATCGCTAAAGCTACATTTAATCTAATTATACCCATAGATGCAGTTTTTCACGGGCTTTAATTTGGTATAAAAACCTTCTGATATTATCT